TGGCATTTAGGTTTCAATTTTTAACAATGATTACTATCTATAAGCATAGTTACAATTGAGTAACATTATTTATGAATTGAATAATATATTTAACAATACTTGATATTTATGCAAGCTCTACAGAGGACCACCGTAGAACACATGGATTATACTTAACCAAAAAGGTGCTCTTGCGTCACTCATTTTCCCCAGGACAAAGTTAACACAGTTAACTATGGGCGCCCCCAAACCAACACTGTAAAACTACTCCCAAACGATGATCAGTAACTTCCTCCACCTTCTCTAACACCATACACAGGGGTCAAAGCAAAGACATGTGATAAGATATATAAAAGAATCAAATTAGAGAACAGAAATGTCATTCATTTCCTTGGAGATACAGAGTGGATATAAACCTCTTATCTGCTGAACAAAAAGTTGTCTCCTGCCAAAACTCTGCTTCCAAAAGCACATTTGCTGTTAGATATCTGGTTCTTTCTATCTAAACATGGGGCTTTTTCACCCAAGGGCATCACTCAGGCCCATAGCTGTTGCAAAATGCTGATAGGAGCCTAAGTTGATCTGAACAAAGAATTGGTGTAGGGGACACTTAATAGGAACTTCATTCCACTGTTTACTCAAGTTAATACTTTGTAGTCAAACACCTGAAATCCTAACGTTTTAAAAGCAAAAAGGACTTGAGTAATTTTTAACATTACTAACAGATAACAGTTAGATATTATTTTTCACTTGGAAATGACAAAATTCTACAAAACAATTACAAAGTGAACCATTATACTTCATTTATTTTTTTTATCACACATTAAAAAATCTACCTAGGAAACAGTCTGTAGTACAAGAGCTCTTTTAGTGTCTCAATCTAATTATTTATCAAACTTTTTATTTAGGGTCCGTAGCAAACTAAAGTAAAAAGAATCCAGAGTATCTTTGGAGAAAAGCAGAAAGTTTATATGAAACATATCAGACTTGGTCAAACATTTTAAATAATAACAATTCCTAAATTCAGTAGAATCTATTAAATAATCCAAATATTAGGTGAGAGTAAAACGTATCACTATAGACAATTTTCTAATTGCTAAATATTAAATATTAGCAACATTGCATGCAAATTTAAATACAGCTTAAGCGAAATATACTCTTAACATTAAAGTCACATGTTTTTGACACGATGAGTTTCTCATTTTAAAAGAGTTGTGTTTTTTTTGATATGGTTTTCTAGATATGGTTTTCTAGTAATCATACAAAGTAAATTTGAAAGATCTTACCTTTGTTGAACGTCTGCATCAGCTAATTCGACTTTGTAAGGCACAATGTTTCTTGGTTCTTCAAATTCCTCTTCATACATCTTATTAAATGTATGTTATATAAA